ATAAAATAACAAATAAATGATATAGGCCAAAAGTATGTAGTAGTTATTTGCAACCAAAACTAAAAACTGTCATAGAAATTTAAACTTTGCTGCTGAAGGGGCATCAATTGTAAGTGCAGTTGAATATAAGAACTAAAAAAATAAAATAACCCAATTCATTTCAAACAAGCCTTGTACTATAATAGGCTTGCCTTTAAACGGAAACTAACAAAACTGTATACAGAAATAGAAATCATGCAACAGATAAAATTCCTCACATTGCCAAGTTACATAACGATTATCTAAAATGTATATTATCTTCAAACACTACTCAAAATTATTTCCTCTTTCATATGACGGTGGGAAGATGATACTGTTACAACATATAACACATATAGCCAAATTTTCTTAGTAACCATTAATTCAAATATTGTATACCAGCAATATTTACAAACATGTCATACTATGAATTCTAATTTCTATAGTAATAAAACCTTGCTATTAAGGGAAAAATCTTGAGACATTTGAGACAAAATTCTATTATTACTTTAGTAATAACAGAAAACATTTTGCTAAAGTCCGATGGTGTGAATTTGCTGTTTGTCTACTTCCAGAAGGATCGACAGACAAAAAGCTACAACTAAAATAACTGACTAATTCCAAGCGTTAGTAACGCAAAATAATCTACCAGTCAATAACATATAGAAGACACTTAAAAATCTTTCTATATTTAAAAAAAAAAAAAAAAAAGGAGCACTATTTTAAAACTGGAATTTATAAAGACCAGAAATAAATGTGAATAAAATAAAAACACAACACATGAAATTACTTCCCAAAATGTTCAACTGATGTAATTTGCAAATCAGGACATTTCAATATAGTAATAATTTTGCCTTAAGAAACCGATAAAGATATACATATGCAAATCAGTAAGTCTGCAACCAAATGAGAAAAAAATGTTTTTAATTTTCTAAAAAGTTCTCAAAATAATCTTTGTCAATGTTGAATTTACTACATTTTTTGTGAAATTGATAACAAAAAAAAAAAAAAAAAAAAAAAACCCTGTAAATTTCATATCACAATTCAACTGATAACTATCATTATTTATATATATATATATATATATATATATATATATATATATATATATATATATATATATTTCAAACTGTTTGTTTTTTTTTTCCACATAGAATTTTCTAATTTTTTTTATAGGTGAAGAAAAAAAAAAAAAAAAAAAAATAATAAAATTTGCTAAATTTCCTGAAAAGTTCATCTCATTCACCATAATGAATTTCTTTAATTACTTGACTTTTGAAAACAATTTTAAGTTATTTTAAAATATAATTATCAATATTTAAAAGATTAATAAAACTAATAGAACTAGTGACATATTCAGTTAGCCAAAAGTTCATTGTTTTTGTTTCATTTGATGGTATTAATTTTATTTAAAAGGTTTGCTTTTGATTGTATAGACATGTTATGCAATAAAATAACAAATTGATATATTCCTGTTTAGTGATTCCAAATTGAAGATGAAAGAAACATCAACATATTTGGAATGAATACTATTAAGGTACTGTGAATGAACAAACATCCTGAAAGATTTATGTTGATTTCTTGTTGAAGGATAGTCAAATCAACCAACAGAGTGGTTTGGTTTATTTTGTTTTATGGCACATCAACCTCCACTTTAAAATGCTGACAAAATTTTTTTGTTGCTGGTAATATTTTGTTTTGTCAAAAATCTGTTTCTGGTCATATTTTTCCTCCAAATTATATTGCTGGTAATAATAACTATTTGCCCATAGCTGGGACACTAACAGGGGCTACCACACGTGGTCAGGGTAGGCCTGGGAACACCAGCAATTAAGAGGTGGTTCCATGCCCTTAAAACCTCCATGAGATCGCTAAAAAAAAAAAAAAAAAAAAAAAAAAAAAAAAAAAAAAGAGCATAACATGATGAAAAAGAGGCCAAATTTGACGAAAACAAAATTTTATCGTCTAAATGTTTATATTATTATTAAGAGGAAGGATCAAAGTTTATTTTAATTATTTTAAAAAATTTTCCCTTTTTAGACATTCTAAATTTTGATTTAAAAAACCTTGTTTCTCTTTGTCGCAACAAGGGGTAGTAAATAACAATTTTTAGCGCACTTTTTTGTATTTACACACATTAATTTGGAAAATCTTGCAAAAATAAAAATAATTGTCAGATGTTAATGAAACTTTCAGAAACTATTCACAGATGATCAAAATTATGTTTTTTTTTTTTTATTAAAGTCATGGCAGAAATATTTTTTTTTAGATTTATTAAACAAACTAATTTTATGAAAACGCTAGAAATTCGATCACGTCAAGTTTAGTGATTACAATAGTTAAAAGCACAAGGCTTTGACGAATGCAAATCGTCTTTGTTTTTAATTGGACCCCCTCACCTACCTGAAAATCAGCTCCAAATTTTAACATACAAAACTCAATAAAACAAACATATTTAATTTCAAATGCTTTTATTTTCTTTTAGTTGTGTTTATGAATATGGACAATATTTTCTGAAAGCAAAAAATTTTTTGATGAAAAATGAATTTTTAATACAATTATTTATTTCTTAATTATAATAGATTTTTACATAAAATATTATAAAATTAGTTAAAAGTTGCATCTGCTTTTCTAAGCATCCTTATGAGTAAGATCTTTTTTTAGCGCGTTGTAAATTGTATCATTTTGACTAATCAGAAGATCTGCAATAATTAAGAAATGTAATTTTGTGTTTATAATTGGGCTGTAATTATAAAGTACGGAAGACCAACCAGAATACAATAAAGTTGCGTTGTTTGAGTTAAGAATTGTTCTCCACTGTTAAGGCCTTTACTTTTGCAAACCAGGTGTGGAGAAGTTAATCTGATTTTTCAATTTTAACTGAGAAGGGTACCTACAAGTATCAGTATCATCTTATGAAATTTATATGATCTTATTTTTATATTAATCTCAGTTATGACATTTTTCCATAAATGAAATATCAAAATTAATAATAAAATGAATGGAAATACAAATAACACAGTCAAATGTAATAAATGTACATAAAATTATAGTACTTTATGTACACTTCTGGTAAAATTTCATAAGAAAGGAACCTATAAATTAATTAGATACCTTTCTTATGAAATATGAAATTTAATCTCATTCTTAACAGTTTTATTTTAATTTCTTTATAATATATTTTCCATAAAGCATCATAAACGTAATGCTGAAAGCTAAGTACAAAAAAAAAAGAAAAAAAAAAAAATTAAAGCATTAAAAGTTTTCCTTAAAAATAACAATGTAAATAATTTGTTCACTTAAATGTAAATAATTTCACTTTTCTCCTCCCGTAGAGCAAATTATCTTCACGGAGTCTGACAATATGTCATTCATCACCTGTCAAGTGACGCAAAAGTTTATGACCTGCTTTGTTTTATTTTCAAATTACATCTTTTCGGCACAGAAGCTAAGTTAAGCTTGGTTCAAAATATTTTAGATAAACATAATTTCTGATTTTCTTAAAATAAATTTTGGAAAAATGATAATTGATATTTAAAAGAATTTCAAAGTGAGATTTTCAGTTTTTTTTTTTTTTATAAAATGAAAAAAAAAAGGTCAATTTTGCCAACTCAAAAAAAAAAAAAAAAAAATACTTTGATCTTTCCTCTTAATAACAAACATTTAGACGTCTAAATTTTGTTTTTGTCAAGTTTGGCATCTTTTTCATCATGCTATGCTCTTTTTTTTGCTATCTCATGGAGGTAGCTATGTTAAATCTTAACTGGGAGGTATTTACTTATCAACTATATTCACCTTCAGATTGAAAACTTCCGAGTCAATCAAATCAATTTCACAGAAGGCCACAAAAGATAGATCTTTGCCAAGAGGATAAAATAAAATTGCCTGAAATATAGCAGAAAATATATAATCACACATGATAGTACTCTAATATTGGAATATACTTTTTGCTATGTATGATGGGTTTGGGCATTTTTTATCATCTATATTTCAGCTGTTCCACAAGTGGATTCTAAATTTAAGCTAACTGTCATCACCTATGGTTAAAGAAAACCAATTCAGTACCCACTTGACTTTTGAACAGAGTTGACAGGTAGCAGATAACCAATCAACAAATGGAATTTTCATAATATTTAAAGTTATGTCCTCCCCCCAAGTCAAGCTATCATACCATAACTAAAGTTAATTTTGGATAACAAAAGTAACATTAAATGTTTGTTTCTTTTTGCTTAATGGAACATCAACCTCTGTAAGTCATCTTAGTGTTGAATTTATGTGGTATACTTATGATTTGCAAGAAAGTTTGTAGTTAAATGCTTTCGAGGAGGAGTTTTTGGTTAAAGTGCTTCTAAAGAAGTTTTTATTTTTTATCGAGATTAGATTGTTGTCTAAAGCTTCACCGGTTTTATAAAGTTAAGGATTGTGTTTTTTTTTTTTTTTTTTTTTTTTACACACGACTAACTTTAAGTTAATATCATTGCTACAATTTTATGCTTTTTATACCTACTTAGTTAAAATGAGCAACATCTAAATTGTACCATTTTATACAAACATATTTTGGGGTAGTAGATATAAAACTTCGGAAGTGCCTGGTTTATATATTTTTTTAAATATAGACAAAGACTTGTTTTGTGCATTAGAAAACAACAGATTTATGTATATAAAGTCATACAATGACTGCTACAACGACAACACTACCTCTGACAAAGCCTCCATCAGATGATGATGATGATACCAAGATCAGGCATTGTTTCAAGCCCACATCATCACTAGCACTAAACAGCACTGGTAGTACTCAATGATACCACCAGATTGTTAGGGCTCCATCACATAACGGGAGAATGAAGTGCAAACAGATGCAGCCTTTGCTTCAATCTTGAAGTCTGTCCCTTGATACTAACTAGTGATTGGCCACATATATCAAAGCTTAAGTGTATACAATACCACAACTTCTGACTATAAAAGGATACATATTAGTTGTA